AGGTTGCAGACCCCTGTGCTAGGTTGACAGGAGCAGGGACCGAGTAACGGGAGCTCACCCTGTCATGGGGATTCGAACCGCCAACCTTCTGATCGGCAAGTCCTAGGTTCTGTGGTTTAACCCACAGCAGCACCTGCGTCCCGTCTCATATGTAATCAGCACTTATTGAAGATGGACCTTACCTGTTCTGAGCATTCCCAAATTTACCAAAAGGGTCCCCGGCTTTCCCTCCATCCCCTGTAAACAGGTACATGTAGCCATCCAGGCCAAAGAGGATCTGTCCCCCATTATGGTTTGCGGCTGGTTCTTCGATTTCTAAGAGACTCCTGAAGAGAGGGGGGGAGAGAGAGAAACACAGAGATCAGAAACTAGGAAAAAGAGCAAGGGAGGAAGGCTGGTTAACATCCAGGGCCTTACTAAGTTCAAAGACGTATTTTACTTATTCAGTCACTAAGCAGAACATCTTATCTGCATAGTGCTCAATCTTCCCCTTTTCCTAGACAAAGCAAAAAAGGACCTTAAAATTCCTGGGATAATTCTATCCTTCTGATGAAATCTGTCTGCTGGATAGAGCCGTCTTAAGTGCACATCTGGCACTCCCACTTGCCCTCCCAGGAGAGAAGCTGGGTCAGAATGTGTTGCATCCATCAGCATGCATACATCAATGCTATGGAAAGGAAGTCAATTAATGGCTTTGTTTTGATCTATGATAAGTCTTATGCCAATAGGAATCACCCATGGTGGACTGCACGACACATTGCAGGTCTAAGCCGTAGTCAAAGCAGGAAATCTGGACGGCAGATCAGCACAACTCCTGGATGCAGGAGTGGTGCTATTTTTTCAGAAAGAGAGGTGCCAGAGCTCACCATGAATTTCTCCCTTGCCCACCTGAGAGCTGCTGGAGCTGAGCACCAGTGAACTCTGGCTGGAAAAAAAAGCCCTCCGCAAGAGTGTTAACTGTGCAAGGTCTTTCTGCATCCAGCCATTCCTATTTGGCAATATACTTCTCAATACATCTATCCTGCTTCCAGGCACATCTTGAGGTGGCAGCAATTGAACGTGGGTGGAAGAATATCCAAAAGTAGGACCCTCAATAAACTAGGAGACACTGTGGTCTGGTAGATGGTAGGTTGGGTTGGGTTCTGCGCTGGACATTAAGCCCTGCACAGCAACTGGGAAAGTCACCAAATTCCCAAAAGAGCCAATGTTTGGATGCAGAGGGTGTTCCCCATTCTTCCTTTGAATGACCACCTTCGATTTAAGCCAACAACACAAAGGAGCATTCTTCCTCTGTTGCATAGGCGCCGACTCCATGGGGCTTGAGGGGGCTCGAGCCCCCTCAAAAAATTTTTGGGGGGGGCTCAGCCCCCCCAATAATCTCGGGCGCCGGGGGTGGGGGCTCCTGCCTCGCTGCTTCGCAGCACCACCGCCACTGCCAAGGCACTGCCGGGGGGAATTTCCTTCCTCCTGGCGGTTTCAGCCCCCGCGAGAACAGGGGAATCCCGACTGGCCACACCTCCCAGCCAGCCAATCGGCTGGCTGGGGGGGCGTGGCTTGCCCTATTTAGGGCCGGAGCCACTTTATTTGCATATTCATGAGCTTATTTATTATTCATGAGCTTTCCCGGGCCCCCCCAATATTTTTTATAAGTCCGCGTCCCTGCTCTGTTGACATGGATCAAGTCATACCTACAAAGGGGGGAGGGATTCCTTTTCATCACTGGCTTCAATTATGATTGAAAAGTGGGTAGCCCTTCCCTCCAATGTCAAGAGAGCTCAGGATCCAGCCTGTCAGAATCTGGGTCCTGTTCTCTGTCTCTGTTCTAGAGCATTGGCTGATGCAACTGGTGGGTGAGGAACCCAAAACTGGCCATGCCATGGTCTAAGATAGGGAGTAAAACACTCACCTAGAAGACTACAGATTGTCATATATAGGTGGAAAAACAGAGCCAATGAACCTGGCAGTGATCTCCATTGAAGACAGTGGGATCAGGCTGCACAAGTAGCCCCCATGTTACAGGCTGAAACTGAAACTACTCTCCAGGTTGAAGATTTGTCTAGATTCTTTCCAAAGTGCCGAGCGTAGGGCTGGCAAAACCTCCTTTCTCCCCTCCCCATCACATTTTGCAAGCATCAGCTGCAAGTCAGAGCAGTCTCTCTTGTAGCCTGTGGCTACAAAGGAAAGCACACACCTTTGCTTTGCCTGCAGACACCTGTTGCCTGCTGGGAACAGGCCCACGCAGCCAATGAACAATGTGGACTCCGCCCACCAGTTGATATCATGAGTGACATCAGCTGATTGACAGGAGGACGTGGTTGGGCCTCATGGATCAAACTGGAACCTCTGTTGGCCAGCATTAGTCTGTGAGCCGAAGGTTCCCCACCCTTACTAGGTTGACCTAGGTTCAGATCCCACATCTGAATGCATTCTTTTATCTTGGATAGCACAGTAGTGCTTAGCACTTGAGTCCACCTCCACCCACATACCTATGAAATTGTCCTTTTGCTTGGCCAGGGAAGATAAATCACAGATCACAGAATTCATTGTTTCTTGAAGCCCAGTTGGGATTTGCTTTAGCACAGAGTGTACTTGGTTACTACTTATCCCACAGGGTCGATATGAGGACTAAAGGTGACAACTTCACCCTAAGCCCTTGGGAGGAAGCAGAGATCCCAAGAAGATGGAAGAAGGAAGGGAGCTTGGGGAAAACATTACCTTTCTGTGCTTGCATCAGCCTTGTTGACATCTGACGTGGAAACTCTTAATTCACTGATCCTGATTTTCTCCACCTTTTTCTTGTCCTGGTAGGAGTAATAAATGTAGAATTTCCCATTGTCCTTGTATTTGGGGTGGAAGGCCATCCCGAGGAAACCTCTTTCATCTCCTAACCAGGGGGTGGTCAGCACCATGTTCTTAATATCCAGAAAAGGCTCTTCCAGGCGACTTCCATCTGGAAGAAAGACCCAGATGATGCCCACCTGTTCAGCCACAAACATGCGATGGGTGTTGTCGTTCGCGTGCGCCATCAGCACAGGATTCCTCAGCCCGTTGGCCACCTCTTTTAGGCACAGCTGAAGGCAGCCTTTCTTGTCCTCCACCACAGAGCCCAGGTTACGGTTCAGGTCTGTGTTTTTCAGCACGTCGGGGAAGCAATAGTCTTCATCCTGGATGTTAAGCAGGTTGCAGAAGCGGGTCTTGTTCCTCTCGCAGCATTCCTGGATGTGTTTGTCGTCGGTAAGCAACGTGATGGCAGAACGGCAGTAGAGGTGGAACTCCGAACAGTAGTCCGAGCAAAGGCCAGGCAGGTTCCGCAGGGGAGTCTGAGGATTCTCGGCATCGTAAAGATGAGCTGCGTAGGGTGAGCATTCCTGTTAAAGGGCGAAAAGCATTCTGAAAGTGCTGTGCAATGGACTCTATCTGTGTGGCTGCTGCTGTAGCACGATCATGCCTCCTCAGTCTGCACATTTATGTATTACAAAGACACCTCAAATAGCAGGCCTGAATAGCTCAGCTGGTTGGAGCGTGCTACTGATAATACCAAGGTTGCAGGTTCGATCCCCACATAGGACAACTGCATATTCCTACGTTGCAGGGAGTTCGACTTGATGGTCCTCAGGGTCCCTTCCAACTCTACATTTTTATGATTCTATAATCCTAAGTGTGCAATGCTCCCTGATTTTAAGAAACGTAACAGCCCCATTGGATCAGACCAAAGGGCTATGGAAGGGAGACCTCTGGATACTGTTGGACTGCAACTCCCATGAGCCCCAACCAGCAAGGCCGATGGTTGGAGATGATGGGAGACATAGTCCAACAACATCTGGAAAGCCAAAGGTACCCCATCCCAGACCTAATCCAACATCTTGTTTCCCACAACAGCCGTCCAGAAGCCTATGGAAAGCTCACATGCAGGACATGAGGAAATAGCCTTTTCCACTGTTATTACCCAACAATCAGTATTCAGAGCATGGTGCCTCTGATGCCGAAGGTGGCATATAACCCATACCCTCTCACACGCCCCAGCGGAAAACCGGGATGCATGGCTTTTGGGGGCATGCTCCTGCATGAGTCATTTTGTTCGCATGAGAGCAAGGCCCTGAAAGATGCAATATTGCTAGAACTGGCTAGAATTGTTTAAAAGTGCTTTTCCAAAAAAAAACAAAGTCTTTTTTGTTGGGGATAATTCAGACAGAAATTCCCAGGTATCAAAAAAGGTTCTTTATGTATGCCACTACTGCGGCCTGTGTTTTGTTAGCCCCAAAATGGAAAACAAGCGAGGTCCTAACTAAAGAAGAATGGCAACTTAAGCTGATGGAATATGCACAGCTTGCAGACTTAATATATAGAATAAGAGAACAAGAATAACATATGTTTAAAGAAGCATGGAAAATGTTTACTGAATATATGGGGGAAAATTGTGTACACTTGAAAACGTTGGCAGCATAAAGATAAATTCAACAGTGTAAGTAAATTTTGATGGATGTAATAATGGAATACTGAATGGTTTATGTAAAATATTCAGGAAGGTCATTGCTAATTTAAGGATGTTTAAATGAGTATTCTAAATTGTAAAACAGAAAATTTAATTAAAAAATTATATAGATAAATAGATGATAGATAGATGATAGATAGATAGATAGATAGATAGATAGATAGATAGATAGATGATAGATAGACAGACAGACAGACAGACACACACACACACACACATATTCTTCTTCGGCGATCACTCATAGCCGAGTAAGATTGTCTTCTATAAACACAGTTTTAAGAATGAGTCACTCCGTAAGTGACTGTGGACAGTGGCGTAGTGTGGGTTGTCAGCACCCGGGGCAAGGCAAGTAATTTGCGCCCCCTAACCCGTGGATTTGCGCCCCCTAACCCTAACCCCAGATGTTGCGCCCGGTGCGGCCGGCCCCCCCTGCACCCCCCACGCTACGCCACTGACTGTGGAGGCCAATTCTGGTTCCACACGTCCTTCCACAGTGGGGACATTGGTTCCCGGGCGGAAGTTGATCATGGTGTGGATTTGCCAAGCGTGCCTTCCTCTTAGCACGTTTCTCCCTTGTGTTCTGAGTTTGAGTGTCTTCAAAGTCCATGACACCTTTGGTAAAGGCTGTTCTCCAACTGGAGCGCTCGCAGGACAGTGTTTCCAAGTTGTCAGTGTTTATTCTACATTTTTTAGATTTGCCTTGAGACAGTCTTTAAACCTCTTTTGTTGACCACCAGCATTACGCTTTCCATTTTGTTCCCATTTTATTGGGGTATGATAACCATTGTTATTAGCAGCCAGTGATAGCCATATCTTCCATGAGTTGTCTATTCTCCCTTTAAAAGCTATCTATGTTGTGATGGCACTTGATGGCCACAACCACATCTTGTGTAGGCAGAATCCATAGCTATGTCCAAAGAAGTGTGCCATTCTCGCCATCACACAATAGCATTTCTCCATCTTCGCCACACAGAGGACCTACTATTACGTGCTTGCTCTTCTTCTTGCTTACATAGCTTTTTGTTATTCCAGTCCAAAACTGACTTGTTAAATCCAAAGCTCTTGTTTGACTATTGACTATACAGTTGTACCTTGGAAGCCAAATGGAATCCGTTCCGGAAGTCCGTTCAACTTCCAAAATGTTTGACTTCCAGGGTTCAGCTTCCGATTGGCTGCCAGACGTTCGGCTTCCAAAAGAACGTTCGCAAACTGGAACACTCATTTCCGAGTTTACAGCGTTCAGGAGTTTGACTGCTAAGGCGTTCATCAACCAAGATACGACTGTAACTGGGAATCTCAAAGTGGTTTGGCAATCAATCCTTCTTTGCAGGGAGCTCTGGGAATGGTAGCTTTGTGAAGGGAATAAGAGTGGCTGAACAAGTATCAGCATCCTTGACAAACTGCAGTTCCCATAATTCTTTGAGGGATGCTATGATGACTGTTTAAAGTGGTGTGATGCTCCTTTAAATGTAAAGGGCAGGTGGGGCCTAAATCTTCAGAGCTCAGTATTGTATGCTGAAGTGCAGTTCAACAAAATGTCCCCTCTGACAAGCCTTTGTCCCAGCATTTGCTTTGGATCCTACAGTCTCTCCCTGTCTCAAGTCCAAACTTAGCCCCTGCAGGGGCTGTCTTTCAGAGAACGCAAGCAACCCCCATTTGCGGCTAAAAATGTCTGAGGTCAAGACATTCCTAAGGGTCTATATAACAGTTGCTAGGATTAAACCGCCTTGCCAGTAAAAGGCTGGCCCATCTGTTCCTTTTTCCTCATCTGTGTGAGAGGTTGCAAATGGTGTTCTGCTCATTGTTCCAACCTCTGTCTCAGAGGGGCTGATGAAATATTAAGTCTTTAGGTCCCTCTGTGACTACTGTGTCTGCCGTTTTATAAGGATTTCCTCTCCCTGTCTGAAAAGTTGTTTCCACATAATAGTAAGTGGAGCTATGCAGAATTAACTATTGTCCCAGTTGTTAAGGGTTGGTGGGAACCGTAACTGTGAGGGATAAACTAGAGACACCAGGATTTTTTATTACTTTTTTGAGGTGTGGAAAATGTGCTTCAAATGTGCTTTAAAGGCACAGTGTGTTAAATGTGTTTTTCTGCATTTAATGAGCAGGGGTTTTGAAGTGAAACTTTTTGCATCAGCTTGGGTGGTGGAACTGATAATTAACAGGAGGAGAGAGAGAGAGAGAGAGAGAGTTTAACCCTTTCCTCCCCTGCTGCAGTCCGAAAGGAAATCCTTTCTCTGGAGCTAGTATTTGCATAGGCAGGAATTCCTGCCCTCTCTGGCACCACTGCATATTGGATGCAAAGACACATTTGAGGTCACCTTCCTCTTTGGCCCTAAGACTGATATTAATTAATTAATTAATTAATTAGTGAATAAATGTGATGGTTCCTGGCACCGATTAATTACCGTATTTTTGCACCATAACACTCACTTTTTTCCTCCTAGAAAGTAAGGGGAAATGTCTGTGCGTGTTATGGAGGAAATGCCTACGGGTGGCATGCCTACGGATTTTCCTCCTCTAAAACTACGTGCGTGTTATGGTCGGGTGCGTGTTATAGAGCGAAAAATACGGTAATTGGTGCCAGGAACCATCACATTTATTCACTATTTCCAGCAGTGGTGCCAACACACCAAGATTTGGGGGCAGAGGTTTGAGGGGCCCATTCAGCAAAAGGAGCAGAAGGGCTCACCTTTCAGATTAAGCGAGGCAACAAGCACATTGCCATCTGAAGAGGGGCAAAATCTTTAAGTCCTAAGTAAACTGAACCACTGGCTTCATTTTCCATCCAGGTTGTCTTTGCTTTACTTTAGACCCATTCCATCCCTGCCCCTGACACACACAAAGTATCCCACACTGGGGGGAAATATGGGTTCCTGTGGCTGTGAAATTATTTTTAAAAATAAGCAGCTTCCTTTTGACTTCACAATCTGAGCAGTGTTGCCCCTTGAAGAGAGCGTATTCAGTACATGCAGATAATATTTTAGCGCTGAGGAAGCTTAGATGGAAGAGTGCTAAGTGTTTGCCTGGTGTGTGTTTTGGCTCCTTTGTGCTGGCAAGGAGTGAATCATTGACCTCCATGACTCACTGTAAAAGGGGAACCCTTTCTGCTCGTAAATCACTGGATAGGCAGGGTGCCAATGGGAGCTGCACCCTTTGCTCATTGTTCTCCTGCTAGTTACACACACACACGCACACTGGCTGGTTTCTGCCTTCAGCCAGATGGGCAGCCTTCACTAGAAAGCAGGGGGAGCAGGAACCGAGCAACTGAGACTGGAGGGAGCCCTTTCCAAGAAGGCATGGGTGCCAGCTGTTTGATCTGAGGCTGCTTTCAGAGCTGCAGCTTTCCAGGGCACCAGGCAGGAGCACAATCTAAACACATCGCTTCATGGCATCTGGGAATCAAAACACCAAGGTCCACTTTGCTCAGCCCTGCCTAAGCCGCCGAGCGCTGCCCAGTCTCGGTCTGCATTTATTTGCAAAGCAAATGGAAGAAACACTTATCTTTTTGTTCCGAACCTCAGACACAAAATGATTAGCTTCGCCACCTTTCCAGCAACGGAGAGCACCGCTGCTGCTTCATTTGATCTAGAATATTAACTTGAAAGTGTGTTTTCTAGCCCCCTTGGGCACACAAAAAAACCTGCTTCACAGCTCGCCTTGAGCCTCACGACAACTTTGCGAGAAAGCTGAAGTGGCTCGCCAAAGGGAGGCCAGGAAAAAGACAGCAGTCCAAAGAGATTTTGCATTCCTATTTCTTTTGTCGCACTTTTGCCACCGTTCAAACAGGTTTGGCTGGTTTCTGATATGAAATCTGTTTAGCAGGGGTTAAAGTAGCATGAGTGAACAAATTGCAAGCTGTGATTGCTCTTCCAAACTATCTTCAAATTTCCGGGGGGGGGGGGGGGAAATCATTCCTTGCTCTCCAGCCTTCAGGTGAGAGTGAGGATGTGAGATTTTCACCACTGTGTCATATTGGTTTGAAACATTAAAAGAAAAAATCACCCTAAGATTATACAGCTTAATACCTGTATGCTAAGCAGATACGTAGAATGAATCAATGGAATATTATCCTCATCCTCCCCCTGAACAATATTGCATTATGTTTTTACATACATCACTATTTGTCCGCAGGAAAGAAGCCACGTATATATATTCCCCTGTAGCTGCTAAAGATGCCACATATATATATTCTACACACACACACACACACACACACGTAGCTGCTTAGTTTTATTTAATTTCTGTTCTCTGTCTTCCCTCCTTAAAAAAATAAACCAACAGTAGAATTTGCAATCAAGTGTATATCAGTGATGCATAATGAAGGTTACAACCCACCCATTGCCTTACCTGGCATAAAATATCTTTGATATATCCTCCACACAATTTGTGAGCCTGCGGATCGATATAATCCATCACCTCCCAGTATTTGGCTGCAATCGTATTGTCTTTGTCCTGATCACAACAACCAAAAGTTTCATAGGCAGAGCAGAACTCCAGGTGGAACGGAGGCTGGAAAGGTGGACCATAATCGAGGCACTGCGGGTGTCCCAGGAGTGGCCCACTTTGGCCCAAGAGCATAAAGAAGACACCGGTGAGAAAATTTAAAGAATGGAAGGAAATCCCGGCTCTGTTGCTCTTGTAGGAGCTCACAGTAGCTTTCCTCACGGAAGTTTTCCTGTTGCTAGATGTCTCCAAGATGTGACCACCTTGAAGATTAGGGTTATTCATCTTCTGAGCTTTGAAGCATCCCAACCAGCAGAGAGCTCAGTGTTTGCTCAGGTTTGCTTACACACCCCTCTCTCTGTCTCCCATTAAGTTCACTATTGGTGTGCTGAGAAGCAAAGCCTTCAGACCGCCTCTTGGCAATTCCACACCTCACACTGCAGAATACTTCCCTCCTTCCTTTTTTTCTGCAATTTTCTCTGACCCCTCTGATAGAAGGAGGCAGATGCCACACAGTAACATACAGTGTGTGAGAGAGAGAGAGGAGGGGGGGAGAGAACTGAAAGCATAAATTACAGCTGCTGCAAGCATTCTATACTATCTGGTCAACAGTTATAGAAAATAATCATTTTTTCCTATTCACAAAGCTCAGGAATCCAAAGCTCAGCAAATACTGTAGCTGGGAAAGACGATGAATCATTTCTGTCCGTTACATTCCCACTCTCATTTACTGTACTTGAAATTAATCAACTGAGATCACATTCATGTGAAACATGAAACATGAAATTTATAACGGTCAGAGACCAGCTTGAGATCACATTCTAAAGAAATTATATAGGATTTCCCCTTTGCCAAATTACAAGCATGTGGATTTTTTTTAAAAAGGGTTTTGTTAATCGATCGTTAATATGCTTCCCACCACAAAAGCCTTGGGTTGTTTAATACGTTCATCCTGGCAATGATATTTTTCAATGACAATATTACAATGGACATCCTTTTACAAACTGGAAACGAGCATATTAAATGATTTATTAGATGCTACTTAGTAAATCCTACATTTTGACTCATTTATTTTTTGCAACCTTG